GGCCGATCTAGCCAATGAAAGCTCTCTCTCTCTGTCTGCTGTCCTGACTGCTTTCAACAGTCACGTGGGATCTGGTCAATCTCCTGAGCGTACGGGCTCTCCCGAGTCAATCTACTCTCATCTATTCTCCTCTCCCTTGTTTACACAATAAACTCTTCCTACTACTCTGGACTTTAACGACTTCTCTTCAGCACTAAGTAGCCAATGGTCTGAAGATCGCAGTTGCACGGTTTAACTCACTTAACCCCCTGCGATAAATGCACCATATAAATTGGTCACCACTTGGACTTGGTCTACGATCACAAAAAAACAGCTGCCACCACTGTTTCTAACTCTCTAGTACATGACTGGGCCGAATCAACACGAACTCTGACTTCGACAGTGGCCCACTGCTGCCTGCAACAGCAATTCAGGGTTCTGAACACAATAAGCGCCACATTCTGAGGTCTCTTACCTACATTTTGGGATTTATCCTGATGGATGTAGTGCTCTGTGTAACCCACTGCTTAGACGCTACAAATACGTGACCCCGACGTGATCTAACCTCGTAATTACCAGAAATGGCTGAGCGACCTCCTGAAATTCCAAGTTGACTTCACCGTAAAATTTTCCCTGCTTTACTTATAGAGTCAATGAATAGGAAAACGCGGTCGTCGACACTATCATGAATCAAACTTGACGTTTTCGGCTAAGCTCAGCCGTACACGTCAGTTTGAAGAACAATCAGTTTACGTGTAGCAATCATCCAACTGTGTTGCTATCGAATCGGATCTCTTTTTTATATGGGACATTTCTATGTTCATTACCAAAGAAACATCATCCATGAGTTATTTTCATGCAATAAACATGCTAAGGCACGTGTATCAATGAAACTTCAAAGTTTCGATTTTGAGTTTTCCTTCCTGGCAATGACGGTTTCTCAGGAGTCACACCTATGGCCACTCTTTATGGTATGTGCTCAAAATTTGAGGTTTTGGTTCAGCTTTACAATCACAAACTGATCTTCGTAGAAGTCAGTTCAAAGTTTCCTTCAGTTTCTAGCAAGTAGCTGCAGTTGTCCCATCGCAATAGATTTTGTCAACAACTGCTAAAGCTTCAGTCAAGAACAAGGGATCTTTCGGGTGTATCAAACAACGAGAGTCTTTAATCCAAAGTTTTTAAATCATGCTTACTCTGAAGGTATCTGATGAGAAATACTTAAAAATGTGCCTTTATCTGGATCGACATATCTCCGATAAGCGTTTGCTTTTTCGAATCAACTAAGACAAGATCAAACTGACATAGTGAGATGTATGAATCAGTGTCACTACCGGGCTACACATACAGGGTTTTGGCATGAGTAAGCACCCATTACCTGGTCCTCCAATCCTCTCACGCGTTGGCGGTGGGCACGCTCGCGGGCCTCGAGGGCGCGCTCAGCCTGCTTAAGGCTTTGGCGCAAACGGTCAACTTCATTTCCGGAGTCAGCTCTCTGCTGCATTGTCAGCTGGCTCATCCTCTGTGCATAGCTCTTCTCCAGTTCACAGAGTTTCGCCTTTTAATGGAGAGGAAGGGAGAGATTTAACTTGAAGCAACTGACGTTTAAAGGCTGTCATCTATTGTCAGACAGTTGCGCTTATTTCCGACCCCATGTGGGGATAAACCTGCTAAATTATTGGCTTCTGCTTCATTCAGCCCAGCTGTAGGGTTTCGTTTTATGTCACGCGATATTGTCTGTGCGCTTTACAAATACGTATACCAGCCAGAAAATTGGTTTGCCAATCATTCAGAAAAGTTGTGAAAAAAATCATGTTAGACGATTAGGTGGTCAATTATAATTACGGCAATAAGAGGGCGCGCAAACAGCGAATCCCTCCGGAACAAACCGGAAGGATCAACTCACAGAAAAACCGAATGACGCTGTTATCTGAGGGAAAATTAGCAGCGGTGAGGTCTGCAGGTTAGGATACCTTTGCTCTACGGAGTGGAGGGTATTCATCGCTTTTTCTGCTTGCCTAGGTTCGCTACCTCCGTCAAAACCCAAGTGTACAAAAAGTTCAGTGCAATGCATGATCAACAAGACTCCGACATATAAACATTCTATTAATCGGTGGAAGCATATCATTGTCAACGAGCAGGACGTGTGATGAGGACGAATATGCCGTCCTCAGCAAAACTGTTCTGGTGCTTGGACAGTCTTTTTCTTTACTCGTGCGTCATAAGTACATATGTACGATAGAGGAACGGATTAACGGCCACTTGTATAGGTAAATTTTTCTATAGACAGCCCCAAGAGTCGAACACCGGTGTAATGATTTTATCGCCCTGGGTTTTCAAACGTTCTCCTGAGCCTTCCACGCCTTTGGTAGAGAATGCGTTTATCAAGAAGTAGAACCTATATCTTTAGAGGAAGAGATAGTATTGTACTGATGACATGCGCAAAGCCACGTGATTTGACAAAACGATGAGCCCCCGAGTGCTTTTGGACAGTTGTCCATCACTTTGAGGTCACGGGCTCATCCGAGCTGAAGGATGAAAATCGATTGAGATTGTCAAATACGACGAGTCGGCTGGAACCAATGGTGCCGTTGCGGCCTTCTGTGTCTTCCAGTGACCTGTTTCTTTCAGCCTTTTCTTGACTTTTTCTGTACAGAAAATGCCATCCGCTTAACTAACATTTCGCTTCTCGGACTAGATCTGACATTCTAGAACACTCTTTATGACAGCTGCGACAGCTGAGTCGAAATCTGGTAGAAGACACGGTTAAACTTTTTTTGGTTTCTGTCTATCGTTGCCCGGCTAAGCAGGGACTGAAATGAGAGCCCTCTTACGGCATTGACCTAAGTTAATAAAAGTTATATGCAGTTGTCCGTGATATATTCAACTTCCAGAGTAGACTTCTTGATGTATCTGGACTTTTTTCGCAGTGTCCATTTCCAAGCTGAATCGTTTTTAGCGCTAGGAAACTTTCAGCTAACCGAAAGGTCAGTGAATGATAGACCAGGGGAAGCCTACTTGGCGGGGCTACAACAGCTTTTTCCGACATATTCGCCGCTAAAAGTGTACCACTCCACATTTCTTGGTAGGCAGGCTTGAGATCTGAACACGGACAGAATGGTCATTGGAATTAAAACGCTACCATTCGAGCCGGGGGCCAAAAGTCTGTCAGCTGCGATCGAGAAGCTTCGGCGACAGTTAGGCGGTACCGTCTATCGGCATGGCGTGGTTGTAAACTCGATTGCAATCTCCCGCTGTTCAGTGTAGTTGAAAGAAAACAATTTTCGTGAATGACTAACCGGAGCCGAGGCTTCGAGGTTGAGGATTGATACATGGAGGCCTGACGATGGCGCATAAGCTAGAAATGCCTTGTCCAGCTAAAAGAAGGAGCCTCCAAATTTAAGTTTCTGTTGCACATAAACATTCTACACGATAGACCCTACTCACAGGAATGTGTGCATGGGAAATTTCTAAAAAATCGCTCAGTATAAATAAATAAGAATAGTGCATAGTGACCTCTATCCTCATGCAGTTGGCACTTTTAGGCAAAGTAGAATGCTCTGAAAGAGAGAGAAATGGCTGGGTTCTATGTGGCCTCCCATTTATCTACCGGAAACGAACAACTTTTGTTCATCGCGACTACCTATCCTTTTAAATGCAAATCACTCACACCTCGTTAACAGAAACTATTACACGCGACGCGTGCGAAGTGAAACTAATAATGGGGGCTTATATGCCTAAGGACATGTCATCGAAAAACTAAATCAGAGGTGTTTCGAAAACCAAACTTTGCGGGAATGGTCTTCAGTTCAGAGAGCATGGCTGGTACTGCACTCGATTCAAAACAAGTCACACAAAATAACGGATAAAATTTAAACCTGTGCACACTGCAACTGCTCCCTCAGCTCCACATTTTCATTCTCCATCTCACGAATCGCCGCTTTTGTATTGTTACGGTCCTTCGTCGATCTGTTGAGGTAGGCATCAACTTTCTGCTTTTCCTTCTCAGACTTTTCGAGGTATCGCTTCAGTTGTTGGTGATCTTTTTCAAGCTTATTAGTCTGCCTGATAAGACTCTGTTTCTCCAGATCAGCATCCGTCAGGGCCTTTTGAAGGGCTGTCATCTGCTCGACCAGTGCTTGTTTTTCCTTTTGACTCTAAAATTGTAAAAATGGCCTGATAAGCGACGAAGATGTAGGTCGAACAGCGGAATATTGCATTAGGCCGTCCAACGCATGAAATAACTGTAAGTGTACAAAAACTCCGCCGCTCGAAATCCGCTCGAAGGCATCAGCCAACACATCAAATTTAAGTGAGAAAAAAAACAGGAATAAGATAATGAGAGCAATAGTGCGTTGAGTAGAAAAAGTGGTCCTTTTAAAAATGGTAATGCAGATACAGCAGAAATTCTTGTTAAGAGAGTAAACTCAATTTGATAGAGTGCGTAGGGTATATCCACCCAAATAATTTAACAAATAAAGTAGCACAATTATGATAACTTTTAACATACGCCCTGGCTTATCTCTGGATTAAACGTCCCCTTCGTTTAAGTTTAATATGCGGCATTACTAGCAATTAACTGCCAGATGTTTATATAGTGAGGATACCAAAATACGCTTACTGCTAGTCTAAGTTAGTTGGATACATAAATAGCTATCAAAAGTAGGACCTTGGTGTTTCAAACAATTGCAATGATGTTACTTCAAATGACAAAAGTCTAATGAGTTGGTTGCACTGCTACCAACAATTCGGCTAATTAATAAGTGTAGGTCAATTGCCTGTGTTTTCTTGGTTGTTTGCTTGCCAGTGTTTACCGGTTTTTGAGAATATGGGTTACTTAAAACAGATAACTTACTGAGGTAAAGTTCCTAACTGGCTTCGAGTTCAAATACACTTGTGAGCGTTTTCAGTTAGCCTTGAGACGGTTTTAAGAGAAAATTGTTTTTTGGACGCCTCAGTGGTGAATCTTACAAAGCATACGGTTTTACTGGCAATTTTATCAACCTACCTTACCTTTTCTTCAAAATTCTGGTTTCGGCGTCCACGGGCAGAGCTACAAACTTTGCTTTAACCAGTCTCATTTGAACTGAAAAGGGAGGCCTTCGTCAAATAAGCAAATGTCATTGACCCACTTTTTGTAGTTCTCTATACTCAGCTTTGTAAACTTGCTAACGTGCCAGACCTTTTACAGCTGTCACTGCCGATAACTGCAGAGTCCTTATCCATGTCGGAAAACATGAGGATACGCATCCACTATTCCGTGAGCCTTGCGATATTCACGAAATTAGGGGTAAGGTGACGTTTAGGCTAGGGGTTAAGTTTTCTATCAGGTTAGGCTACAATTTGGGAGAAGTTCCTATTTCCCTGTCTTACCACTTTATCTGTTTTTTATATCCAACCTGACTGAGAAGGTTTACACAAGCACATTTTTTAATTTTCGAAATATACTAATAGGTGGTCTTTAATTTTGTGTTCTGAAAATAGATACCCTATCTCATGAAGCGTCAACCCAATCCTGAAGTGCTTTTTCGATCCAAAAATGCTTAAGTGGGATGATAATATTGATTATTTGAGACCCTTATCTCATAATATTTTATTCGCGATAGGATGCGGGCTTTTGAACGTTTTTTTCTCACAATCTGCGAAAAGTATACTCTGTAATTAGTATGCCTTTTCTCACTGATTTTGACTGTACTTACAAATTTAAGTATATTTTTTAGAAAACATGAGAAAAATATTTTTTTCTTATACTCGTCTGGTAGAAACTTGCGCCGTTTTCAAATGTAATATTTGTACCGAATGAGGGTAACGATTCGGCCAACATTATAGTGATTGTTGCGGCAACTGCCTTAAGTAACTCCCGTTTGCACATTTTGGTACTTTATGTTCTCCCATTCTGTGGGCTGTTAAATGTGTCAATTGGAGTACTGCAAGTTTATCAATAATTTCGCACAGCAAAGTAAATTTCCGTCAGTCAGCGTTCACTGTAAAGAAAGTAGGAAATGCCTAAAAAGGACAGTTATATCGAACTGACACGGGATAGAGGAATTTATATGTACTTACAGAAAATTGTAGATATGTATGTCATTTTGTTGAAAGTAGAACCCTTCTAATTAGTACACGCCGTTTATCATCACCATGTATTCTTTTCAGACGCACACGTGGCTTTTAAACTGACGAACTCAGATGCCAAAGTAATGAGTCGAAGTTTTTGAACAGCGGTATGAGTCATTGAAAGTTATTACGAGTTGTAGATACCCACCTGTGTAATTCACGCGACCTGCCCTTTGCGCAAAAGCCGGTTTGCGCAGAGTCAGCTTAAGCAAAAACCAAAAAGCGCAACGAGTTTAAGCCTAAGTCATACACGCCAGGAGTTAATCTAATTATTTTTTCACAGGACCCTGTTGGTAGGGTTGAAAGTCTGCAAACAAAATGTTGGCAGCGTGTTTCAAACGGCGCGGTTTAACTGACAAAGGCGCATGCATGGTTTTCAGAGGAGCTTGATCAATTTATTTACGAACATTTGATGTTTTCTCCAGTCTATTGGTCTTCTGAACTGAAAAGTTGCACCACAACTACACTCCCGGAAGGTAGCTCACAAGCGCTGAACAATAGTCTAGTTGCCGGAGGGGAGTACCGAAAACATTTGCAGACTAGAATGGCTGTTTCTGTCTTATTCGCTGTCTTCATCCAACTATACCTAACTCCAGACTCGTAGCATCTCGTATTCAAACCCAGGATCATTGGTAGTCTAGCTCTTTTCGGTACCCAAATTCTGTATAAATTACTAGTCGCTCTGTGACCGCGTTGGGGGGGGGCAGGGGGAGTTCTAGATTGTGCCGGAAGGCACAATGGGACGAACATTTCTCACAACCCAATCGGTGAACGTCCTTCCCGCGATAACAATAAATTATCGCCCAAGTGCGCGAGACCGGAAAATGGCTTACTTATATAGTCTCCTACACAGGACACGAGCGCAGGTACCACCCGCAATACAGGTGGCTTTATGACCGATTCCAGATAAAGTATGTCAAGTTCTAGAGTCAGGGTTAGGGCTAAGCTTAGGGTTAGGTTGAAATCCGGAGCTAAGGTTAGGATATAGTTGAGAATAATGGTCGAATTTGGCCCTAACTGTAGGGCGAGGGTTTAGGTAGGGTTAGATTTAGGATAAGGGCTACGGTTTTGGTTTGTGCTAGGGCTTTTGTTAGAGTCAGGACATGGTACTATTACCCTGTAGTGACTAGCTCGCGCCGAAGTGAATTTTCCTGAAGTCCCGCAGCCTTTGATGTTGACGTCTGGGAACAGCCAATCACAGTTGCCGCAAAGTTGCTTTCAGGCCTGCCGACGAATGGCAAGCCTGCATGCGTGAATCCTTTCTGTGC